CACCCACCTTTCATAGTAACACTCCCATGAAATAGAAATATACAAACACAGGGAGGTGTAACAGTATGTATATACGATATTTATGTATATGAAGATCATTACCGTGTATTTTGTGACCTTAGGCCTATGTTTATATATATATTGTTACCTCCTTTGTTTGTTTGTTTGTTTTTTGGTTGTTTATTTTTCTTTACAAGGCTAAAATTCATAGAGTTATGAACAGATTTTAATGAGATTTTTACTTGAGGTATATCTTAGCCTAACTTGGGTGCTGTTAAATTTTGGTGGTGATCAGGGGCTGAATTCTCAAAAGAGCCATAAGTTAAGGCGCGCTGGAGGCCTTAAGCGTCCTGCTGTATTTCCCTTATATAAGAGCGAAGTGTTGTTTCCTCTCCCACCGTAAAGCGCTAAAGGCTGCTCTCCCCCTGCCTTAACCTACTGCACCTTAACTCACACCAATATGGTGGTTTCCTTGCTCTGTGTATGGGCCGTAAAGTGTTTGGGAATCCGGCCCCTGGATCATGATCTGGATCCTGGATTTTTTTTTTTTTTTTTTAAATCTAATTCTGAAAGTTAGGAACAGATGTTACTTAGATTTTCCCCAGAGATGTGTCTTACCCTAAAATTCCATTAAATTTTGGTGATGATCTGAGTCATTTGACAAATCCCCATTTTGGGGTATATGGGGGTTGTATGTTCAAAACATTTTGCTGAAGGATGGAACTGATGAATCCAAACATAAAAGAAACTAAAATATTCAATGTGAATGACATATTCCTTTTGATTTACATACAAAAATTCTTCATTATTTTTTTATACTTCCCTTTTTTTTATTATTATTCTGAAAAAATGAAGGTTGGTCTCATATGTGAATTTTTATAAGCTTTCTGAAAATATTCTCATTTTTAAATCATACATTACTGTTACATCACAATTGCCAATTTTCTAAAGTAAGGTGAGAAATCATGATATTTTGGTGGACTTCATAAGTGGCTGCTACCACTTCAATAATTGCAGGGGGCGCCTTGAAAATTTTAGGGGAGATTCGGTGGCCCTGAAACTCTTTGGAAATGTATATAACTCAAAATTGGGAAGATGTAATGTTTTGGCACAAAAGATAATCCCATCAAGCTATACTCTTCTTCAATAGAATGACAAAAAAACACAAACTCAGTTTTCTAAATTGATAATGAGGCCTTTGGAAACAACAGTCCTTTCAGAAAAATGAACCTCACCTCGGTACAGAGGTTAAGAGGCAAACAAGTTTTCTTATAAAAGCAATAGTAAGTGATAGTTAATCTAGACTAGACTGTGTTAGTACATTTATTTCCTTTGTCAACATGTTAGCAATCAGCTTTTCTACAGCCAGAAGATGGTTCACTGTTGAATGGTCACAGATTTTATTAGATTTTTAATATTTCAGTTTTGAATTATCTAATGTCAATCCAAGTTTTTCTGATTTTATACAAATCTTCTGTTGGAATTTACTACCATCATCAGTTGCCATTGAATTATAGAATATAGGTTGGTAATAATTTGTTTCATTCCACATGGCAGTCTTCATTATTTTCTATACCTCATTTTCAAGAACATTGGGATGTAAAGCTATGTCTGATTGATTGGGTGTTGGCACTGTTGGCATTAAATAACCCATACGATACATGTTTGTGTTTCCAGCCCGGAGAGGGACAGGTGGAACCCAGTAAAAATAACCAGTGATTTTTTGACAAATATTCAACAGTATGCCCATATAATATTCCAGTGCTTAAAAGAATGTGTTATGGGAGGAATCTGGTTAAGTCAAGTTTATGTATCTCTGTACATGTGTTTACAAAATGGTTTAAATGTGTTTTACACCATTTATTTGGAATCAGAGCAAAGTGTGTTGAATTGCTATTTAGGTCCAACTCTTACCAAGTGACACTGAAATGACTTCTTATGTCTTGGCAGATTACTACTCCTGCTGAGATGATGCCTTCTGTTGAGCATGCTAAACAGTTGAGCTCTTATTTGGGCCTGGCCTCATTTGTTGAGGAGAAATAGCTCTTCTAAAGTAGTATTAACCCGTAGCCGACGAATGGCATGTACGTACATGCCATGGCTGTTGTGGACCGAATCATGAATGGCATCGTATCATGCCTGTTCCCGCGGCACTGGCTCATTGGATGGAGTTTGTTTTTCTCTGATAGTAGCGGCTTCATTTATATGTTAAAGATTTTAGGCAATGGGACCTATAATGAAGGTAAACCTTCAAAATTTAAATATTTTTATAAATTATAGCAAAATAAAAGCTTTTAGGTGCTAAATGTTGCTTGCAAACTACTGATCGAACTGGGCGCAAACAGGGGAAACTGCCGATTTGTGCCAACAATCCTGTTCTTACATCCACTTGCCAAACATCTTTACCTGTCGGCACTGTCGCTTTTTAGCCGCCTTACCTATAAGATAGTTTATGCTGCAGCCAAGAGCATAGAAACATGGGAAATTTTATGTTTCCCTTTCTTATTTTTTCCTGAAGCATCTGAACCTGTATGCATCCTTACTTGATCAGTATGGTACTGAGAATTCCCATCATGATTCAGTTAACCTGTTTGAAGTCATTATATGAACAAAGGCAGTTTGTTTATATTTAATTATTATCTGACCAAAACCATGGAAATTTTGACTTTTTCGTAATGCATTCTATAACCTTTTGAAAATTTGTTATATTTTCTGCAGTAGCCACTTGTACCACAACCAAAGAAATGTTGAAGTGTTTGTAGTTTACAAGTTAAAATGCTGTTTAACCTCCTGGAAATGGTATTTTTACTGCAGTGGCCCCTGGGATGGATATTAGTGCCGGCATAGTGGTACTCCAGATGCAAAATATCAGAGCCTTTTTATCTTTACATCCTATGTAAAGGATGTAGTATAGTTTTATAGAAGGGAAAAAACAATTTGATTACATATTTCCATGTTTACTAAAATACTAAAATATAATTTCAACATCAAAAGAAAATAAAACGAAGGTGTGGAAGAGGAAAATAAGTTTTATTTATAGCTCGTATTGTAACTGTAGAAAACAGCAGAGAGGTCGATCTCACAGTCACAACCTATGGTCTAGGTCATATTCATATTCCCATTTCTGCTGCACTGTCTACATTTCCTGCACTAACAGCCTGCTGCATGTGCCAGGGCCAGTATACACACACACACACACACAAAAAAAAAAAAAAAAAAAAAAAAAAAGTTAGTTTTGGGAACATCCTAGGCCACTAAATGTCAACTCGTTTCAAACTATCCATGGACCACCACCATAGTTCAAAGAATTTTGTGGACCATTCCATTTTTGAATGTGGATAAGAAAAGCAGACATAACCAACATTTTGGTTTGAAATGTTTTTCTTCAAAACAGAATTTTAAAAAGCTAGCATTTTAATCTGAAATATTTTCTTTGCAAATAAACTGGAGTTACAATATTATACAACTAAAATTGTCCTTTCAGATTTAATTGATTCATTTTTCCTTGGAACCAGACTTTTGTATTCTTTTTTTTTTTTTCACTGATAAGATTTACAATTTTAGGATTGGTACTTGACAATGCACAATGAATATCACTTTCCACTGCAAGTCGATTCTTCCGTTTCTGCTTAATGTGCAACAAACATGAAAATCCACTTACACAAATCTAAGTTGATATGCATCCTATGGGCCACCCAAAAAGTCACCATGGACCTAACCAGTTGAGAAGCACTGTCCGAGGTCATCTTAAATGAGGCAAATTTTTCCTGGTATATCATAACAACTAGTATGCCATTAATTGCCTGTGTCAAATAACAAAACACAGAAAATGGGCTACAGTACAATATAAAATCTAATGATATCATGTAACCTTTGTCTATCTGATAAACCTCATGGAATTTTAATGAGTTTGCATATTTATTTGCTGGCTGTATATATTTCTTGTCATTTCAAACAAAGGAGTTCTTAGGAGCTCTTATACCTATATAAAGGATATCTTTTAATGATCTCATAATTTCTTTTGCTAAGGTGCACCAAACAAACAAAGCAAGAAGCTTTTTTACTGTATTTCACTTACAATTTATTTATTTATTGAAAGTTTTTAGCATTGTCAACATCTAAATTCATTAGCAGCTATACAAATATAGCAATGAGGTGAGGCCTAGGATGGGTAAGAAAAGGTCATATAGAAATGTAATATAGTATTGTAACAAAAATGTTACAAATAAGTTAACAGGTGGAACAAAAATAGCTAGAGAAGGTTATAGGGCACTGTTGGTTAGGTATGGTAATGAAAGGGTTAAAAAGGAAATAGAGTATGAAAGCCGATCAGGACTGACAGAGCCAGTCTTTCATCCTTTCAGCATGGCTCCCACACCTTAGGATGTGGACAGAGGAAGGGGATGAAGAGAAGGAAAAAGAGAGAAGAAAAGACTATGCAAAATTAGTTAAGGTGAGGGCTGAGGTCCAAGGCAGGGGTGATCTGCTACATTGAGCCTCAGTCCTTGTCTCCTAAGCCACTCCATGACAACAACCGGCATGAGATGGGAGGGGTGGGGTGATTTTCACTGGAAACTGACCGTATGGTTAAAATCACATAGAGCATTATTATGTTGTAAATGGACAAAAGCATTTTGAAATTTATTTAGGCCTCCCTGGAAAAAAATAAACATGAAAACTATAGAAAGAAACAGATATAGATAGATTATAGAGATAGATAAATAGGTTTACTGTATAGAGGGATGTTTATGGCAATGAATGAACTTTATAGTTTAGTGCTTTTGATTCTCAGTGGTTGCATCCCAACTTGGCCTATATTTTTTATTTCTGCATTAACAATACAATATAAGATATTTACTATTATCACCACAATATTTGCAGTTACAGTAGTGTCATGTGTATATAAGGTAATTCTATGCATTGCAACACTAAAGTTTAACCCATTGCCATTGCCAGCTTCATACGCCAAACTAGACCACATGCTCGGTACTCCTGGCAGTCAGCTGATCGAGGGGGATAGAAAGACAGGATGCATAATTACTTTACCTTCTAGGATCTTTTCTGTAGGATGCATGACTGCTTAGTAAACAATGCTAAAATGTGACTTTTCACCTACTTTTGATGAGGGGCATAAGCTTCTGAACCACTGCAGGAATGGCCAAACAAGTGAACAGATATTTAACTCATACAACTTACAGCAGGCATGTGGCATGGGTGTGCTTGCTGCCAGTTGGTAATAGAGTAATAGAACAAACTCACTTGGAGTTATTGAGTAACTATTTTCCAACACCTTGTAACTACTACCTTGCATTGATTAGGAATACAGCATTTTCCAAGCATAACCAGGTTGTTATTTTTGTGTGTAAGGTTGTATGTATATCTTCGTGTAGGATTCATGTTGAACAAATTGCAAATAGAACAGTTAAGGGAAGAGCATGAAAGGTATGTTCGTATGTTTTCTTGTTCCTTCTTTTGTTTGTCATATATCTTCATTTGTTTATGGTGACAGCGATTGCATGGATTTCTTTGCAATTTACTCTTTCAAACCCTTTACTAATTTTAACAATATGAGCACGTTGTGAAGTATGCATTGTAGTCAAGAATAAATTATTTTGTAGAAGTTAAAGCGTATATATTTAGGCATATCACCTAATTTGCATTAAATTTCTATGAAATTTTGATAATGAAGTGTATTTGAGGGACTGTGTTCCCTTCCAGAACAGAAAAAATTGCTAGGAAGTTAACATTTTATATTTTTGAAAATATTGATATTGCAATTTACAATCTGCTTTTCTTCTTTTTCTTGAGTGATTTTTTTTCTGCTTTCTGTCTTACCAGCACTTTGGTTTATTGTTTCTCTTCATTATAAAGGTAATTTGGAATGCAAAGTCCACGAAAGCAAGCAATCAAGCAAAAAAAAAGTAATGAAGAATAGAATAAAATAAAATGTTAGTTTGAAATCTGCCAGTATGATATGGAATCTGATCAATAAAGTCAGATGAGAAAAAAATCAAGCTTCCTAACAGCTCCTTTTTATTTGATCTAATCTTTTTTGAATTGGCTTTATTGATATATCATCTCTTTTCATTCAATATAACTGTTTATAGTGTCCTTTAAAAAAAGAAGTCAAGGAAGAGAAATGTGAAATGTTCTCCTCTTCTTAATCAAATTTTGTAGTTTTGTTTTGTGAATTGTCTTTCCACATAGCTGGCTCCACGAGTGTTCAGCTAGCAAGGAGTCCGTTAGGATGCTGTGTAGTGACTGTGCCTGATTTCTTCTTTCTCAAATTTTTTTTGGGGGAAAATGTTGCTTTTTAAAAACATTTAATATTGGTATTGTTATTATTATTATCGATATTATTTATGTCATGTTATTGGTGATATAAGTAGCGATAGAACATGAAGAATAACATTTTTGAAAATGAGGGAAAATGGGAAACAAGTGACATAGGCAGAACTAGTAGTTGACTCTTGGGTGACTTGTGGAGCCATCTATGTGGAGCCATCTATGTGGAAATGCAATTACTAAATTAAACTCACAGTGGACATGTTATGTACATATATGCCATAGCCTTTGGCAGTGGGTTAATGCCTATTAATTATGTGTTCCCTTCAATCACATTTCATAGTCATCAACTTTTTTTTTCTAACTCTTACCTATACTCTCCCCCCCCCCTTCTTCATCTTTTTCTAGTTCTTATACTTACTTATTCATCTCCTTTTCATCTTTATCTAACTTGGCTTCCATTGTCACTTTATTTGTGTGCTTTTCTTCTGTCTCTGCAGTCATCCAGTACAAAACTTGTCTTATTTGCAGAAATAGGGGAAGAGGAGGAGGATGAAGGAGAATACGAAATCAGTGAGAATGGCGAAGATGTTCATGGCGTTTATGAGGATGCCATGGAAGGAGGCAAGTGATGGAAACAGGATGTTATGCTTATTTATTATGATGATGCAAATGAAATGTTATACATAATCATTCATTTTTTTGGCCAACAGACCTTGAAGATGGGCCATTCGTAGGTGGCATGGCAGAAGGAAGAACAGCTCGGAACGGCATTGATGATGACGATGCCATGGAAACGGGACAGTTTGACGATGCTGATTAAAATTTCCAGTTTGTTATTGTTCTTTTTATATATATATATATACTTTCTGTTCTTTATTCAATGAAAATTGTTGTAAAAGTTGTAAAGACCACATCCACAAGTGAAGACAAATATTTCCTTTTTTTTGAATTTTGTAAAGTTGGTATGTAATAATGAGATCTGTTTTTTTCATGATTTTATTGGTTTAATTGTACACAGTTACAAGTAGTAATTAGTTTGAATATTCATCGTGAGGAAAAACAAGTACACGCTAAGTGACAGTGAACACTGCATATTTTTATATGAAAATGGAAATTTAAGTTACAAATATCTAGTGATATTTCATAAAATATTAGTTGAGTTGATATTACACAGATGTCTTTTGCACTGTAGGAAATGAATCAAAAAGACCATTTGTTTTCTTTCTGTTCCCTCCAGGTATTGGGGTTTTCTGAATCAACGTGATTTGCTCATGATATTTTGATAAAAGGCTTTTAGAATGTTCTGAATAAGCATTGATGGTTTGAGGCCAGTTGAGAAGCCTATTTATAAATATATGCTCTTTATTGTGCAATATTGTATGATTATGTAATATAGTTAAAATTCATTGTTAATAACATCACTTCATATGTTTTTCTACACAATATGAGTCTTTACATGACATATCTTGGAACAGAATGAATAGAGTGTAATACTTTAATTTAGTGCAAGAAAGTCAGCACAGCATCAATTAATGGATTCCATTCATGTTAAAAAAGGTGAGAATTGCATTAAAAGTTAATGACTCTCATCTCCATGCCACTCGTAAATGTTCATGAAGGTCTAATTGACTTGAAAAAGGAATGATATATGAAAGTGAAAACAAACCTAATATCCCCACCTTTCACTGCTTTTTGTGTTGACAAGTCTAAATGAAGTAAAATACATAAAACATTTTTATTTGAATATGAGGGGTAATGGGAATGAAAAAGAACTGTTATATCAAAAGCAATAAGAGGAGTAAATAAAAATGGGATTTGCCTGAGCATTTGCTGCTGTTAACCGAGTGAAATGAGCAGATAAAATGTTTCTAAATTATCAGATAATTAAGTTTATGAAAGTGTGTTATTGAAGAAGGCAATTCAATTATGTAGGGTCTGCATAGATATATACAAAATTGGAAAAAATAAGTTCAAAATTTTTCACTACACTATTTAAAACATTCAGTTGCTTCATTATCTTTAACATATTTTATTATTATACATTGTAAAACAAAATTTTAATTCCAAAGAAAGATGTAGCAGAGAGAGAGAAAAAAAATCCTTTTAAAAACACCCAATCGCTTGCCCGTTATTGTCGGGGGGGGGGGGGGGGATTTAGAAGAAGGAGACCCTATGATGGGGACCTTCCCTACCTTGAGCCTCAGCCCTCAGCTTAGTTTTGCAGTCTTTCTTCTCACCCTTTCCTCTCTCTATCTTTCCCAAGCCCTTTGAGATTTCCATTCTCACAGCCCAGGCCTTTGTCACTTCCCATCTTCCAATACCCCATCCGTTGTCTGCAATCAAGACACCTCATTAACAATTTTTGTATTATCCCCTCACTCTCTACCTGCCTCCTCCATATGTGTCCATCATAAAACACCACATGTTATACCTCCCTTACTAACCAATGTCCCTTGCACAGCTCTTTGCATTTTTTTGCCACTGGACCACATTTAATTAAATATATTTCTCCCTTCCCCGAATTCATAACCTTTGAAACTTTACTTTTCCTGCTCCAATCACCTTTCCTCATAGTTGGAGATTTTAACTGTTGCCACACTTTTTAGGATGATTCCACCATTACTTCCCAAAGTTGCTCTTTAGAATGCATTTTCTCAAATACTGACCTTTTCCTGTTCCTATTCTCCTTTCTCCAACTTTCTATGTCCCACTCCCCAATCCCCCTTACCAGGGCTTTGACAGCACTGACTGGTACACTTTTACCTCTCTTTCTAACCTCGATCTTCCTTCCTCATCCTTCTCTTCGATTTCAGACATGTTTCAATACTTCATAGCCAATATCCTAAATGTAGCTTGTACAGCCATTCACTGAGCCTCCCAAGCTTACACTTCCAAATATGTTCCATTGTGGAACTCAGATTGTACTGACACACTTTGTTGAAGTATGCAGCTTGGAACAGCTATTGTTACAAGAGACACCCCAGTTAATTAACAGCCTTCAAGTAATTTAAAAGGGCATCAGCTTATCTTCACCATACATTCCGTAATGCCATTACAAACAGCTGGTGAAATTATAGTTTCTATCATTACACCTGCCTTTTTCAGCCATCTCAGTAGCGGGTCTCACCTCCTCACTTTTCTTCCATAAATACAAACGAAGAGGACACTCCCATCTCCTCCCTGTCCTCTACAAAATCTTATAATGCCCCTTTTTCTTCTTAAATCTATTATGCATTATGATCATGGTACAATACCCATAAACACACACACATACATAAACACATATACGTATATATATTGCAAATATTTGTGTACATTCGTGTGCCTTCCCTGGACTTGGTCTTGCTTCAATTGCCCAAGAAAAGAGCGGTGACCATGGATGAGGGTTTAGGGTATTAAATGAAGACTAAAATATAATTTATCTTTATGACCTTTTGTACCTTTTGTTACTACACTCCCCTTCCTGCTTTCCCTCTCCCCCCCTCACTTTGCCATTTATTGTCCTGTAATCCCACAATTGTGGTTTTGCCGCCCCGCCCCTCCCTCCCCTCCTTCCCTCCCTCCCTCCTCCCTCCCTCCTTCCCTCCTTCCCTCCCTCCCTCCTCTCCTCCTCCCCTCCTCTCGCTCTCCCTCGCTCTCTCTCTCTCCCTCGCTCTCTCTCTCTCCCTCGCTCTCTCTCTCTCGCTCTCTCTCCCTCTCTCTCTCTCTCTCTCTCTCTCTCTCTCTCTCTCTCTCTCTCTCTCTCTCTCTCTCTCTCTCTCTCTCTCTCTCTCTCTCTCTCTCTCTCTCCTCTCTCTCTCCCTCTCTTCTCCTCCCTCTCGCTCTCCCTCCCTCTCGCTCTCCTCTCGCTCTCCCTCTCGCTCTCCCTCCCTCTCGCTCTCTTCTCTCGCTCCTCTCTCTTTCTCGCTCTCTCTCTCTCGCTCTCTCTCTCTCGCTCTCTCTCTCCCTCGCTCTCTCTTCTCCCTCGCTCTCGCTCTCTCTCTCTCCTCGCTCGTCTCTCTCTCTCTCTCTCTCTCTCTCTCTCTCTCTCTCTCTCTCTCTCTCTCTCTCTCTCTCTCTCTCTCTCTCTCTCTCTCTCTCTCTCTCTCTCTCTCTCTCTCTCTCTCTCTCTTTATTCCTTACTTCTTCACCCCTCACATATGCTGCTAGTTTAGCAATTTGTATATGATCATGATAATTCTGGTATTAATAATGATGATAATTCTGGTATTAACATTGATAATTCTGGTATTAATAATGATGATAAAATCCATTATAATTATTATGATAAAGAGACTGAGAATAAAGATAATGATGATGATGATAAGAAAATTAAGAATAAAGATGATGGTAATTATGATATAATCAGTGTTGATAATGTTAGAGAACAATAATGGGTATGATGACGACGATAATGTTATCAATGATGATAATGGAGGAAAAAAAACAAACTAATGATAGTATTGATAAAATGATAATAGTCAAAATAATGATAAAATAATAATAGTGGAAATAAGTATAGGATAATGATGATACATATGATGATCATGATAATGGTATAAAAATATAATTATGATAATAACAAATGGAATGGTGATAATAATGATGTTAATAACAGTAATGATGATAACAATTATAAAAGCATTAATAACAATAATAATGATAATAAAAATGATAATAATAATGATAATAATAATAATAATAATAATAATATAATAATAAATATAATAATAATAATATTAATGCTGTAAACATTAATAATAATAATAACAATGATGATAATAATAACAATAATAATAATCAAGACAATAACAAGAGTATTAATAATAATGATAATGATAATGATAATAACAGTAATGACAATATTGATTATAATGATAATGATAACAGCACATTGATAATAATGATAATAATAATAACAATAATGATAAGACTAATAATGATAATGATCATGATTGTCACAATAAGTGATAATAATTATAATAATAATATTAATGATGATAATGATAATGACAATAATATCAATAATGATAAGAATAATAACAATAATAATACTGACAATAGTGATGATAGAATATTAACAATAGTAATCATGATAATGATAATATAGATAGTAAAAAGAATCATAATGATATACTATATTCAAAATCTGTATAAATACTTATTATATTTATACAGAGAACATTACATTTATTTGCACCTATGTCTTACTATTTAAGGTTGATGTGATTGGAGCATTGGAATAATTGCTTCGAAAACTATTAATAATCCAGTTGATGAAATAGAGTAACTAAATATGATAGTACCCGATGGCCAAAGAATCCAGAACCTACACCAGTAATAACAAAATTCTGGTCTGGTGTTTATGTCAACAGCACCCAGTCAAGGTGAAATAGAAAACGGTAACCATAACAGCTTTTTGTGGAATCGCCATTTCCCACATTGCAAAACTTTCGTAAAATTTTGCTTCACAACCCCCTTTTGAAAATGCCACACCAAGAGATATCGACCATTCCTGTTGGGTCAGCGGCAATAGGCTCAACCACGGAGCTTCATGCCACTCCAGGCTGCATGTCACCGGGAGGGAGTGGACAAAATGGCCAGAGTAAAGTGATGAGAAATGAATAAAAAAAAAAAAAAAAAAATCACAAAATTATTTATAGCAACCTACAGCACCAGAACACTTCAACATGAAGAAAGAATTGAATCATTGGAAGGACAGCTAAAGAAGATTAAGTGGGACATAATAGGAATTTCAGAAATCAGGAAGAAAGGTGAATCTTATTTTACATGAGCAACAACAACGAAGCTAAAACTCAACAAATGAAAAACATTCTCAATCAATGATTAGGAAAGGATCAAGAAGAGACTTCAACTCTATGGACTAGAAACACCCTTAGATCCATATGGATATGAAATAAGAAACGACAGAAGTGAAAAAAAAAATCATAAATTTCACCTTAAACAACAGCTCGAAAACTGCCAACACCTTCAAGAAGAGAGATGGAAGGAGATGGACGTGGGAAAGCCCAGATGGAGGAACTGGAAATGATATTGACTTCATTATAACTGATAAGCTAAACATCATAAAGGACATCCCCCACCATGAATGAAACAGATGTGGGGTGACCACCGCTTTGCCAATGTAGAACTAGATACCAAGTTAGAAAGAAAGAAGATGATTAGGTCGATGAACAAAAAGATACATTACAACAACTTAAGCAAAACAAAAA